ACAGGGAGAGAGAGAGACAGAGAGAGTAGAGAGACAGGAGGGAGAGAGACAGGGAGTGAGAGACAGGGAGGGAGAGAGGGAGAGAGAGAGACAGGGAGGGAGAGAGAAGCAGAGAGACAGGGAGAGAGGAGAGAGAAGCAGATAGACAGTGCAAGAGAGAGAGGGAGGCAGATAGACAGTGAGAGAGGGAGGGACAGAGAGAGAGGGACGGGAGAGACAGGGAGGAGAGAGACAGGGAGGGAGAGAGGGAAGCAGAGAGACAGACAGGGAGGGAGAGAAGCAGAGAGAGAGAGACAGGGAGGGAGGGAAGCAGAGAGACAGAGAGAGGGAGGGAGAGACAGGGCGAGAGACAGACAGGGAGGGAGGGAGACAGGAGACAGAGAGACAGGGAGGGAGAGGGAGAGACAGAGAGACAGGGAGGGAGTGAGAGACAGAGAGGGAGACAGGGAGGGAAGCAGAGAGACAGGGAGGGAGGGAGGGAAGCAGAGAGACAGGGAGGGAGGGAGGGAAGCAGAGAGAGACAGTGAGGGAGGGAGGGAGAAGAGAGAGAGGGAGTGAGGGAGGGAGGGAAGAGAGAGACAGGGAGGGAGGGAGGGAAGCAGAGAGAGACAGGGAGAGAGGGAGGGAGGGAAGCAGAGAGACAGGGAGGGAGAGAGGGAAGCAGAGAGACAGGAGGGAGGGAGGGAGGGAAGCAGAGAGACAGGGAGGGAGAGAGGGAGGGAGAGAGAGACAGTGAGGGAGGGAGGAGAGAGAGGAAGAGAGAGAGGGAGAGAGAGACAGGGAGAGCAGAGAGACAGAGAGAGAGACAGAGGAGGGAGAGACAGAGAGACAGGGAGGGAGGGAGGGAAGCAGAGAGACAGGGAGGGAGGGAGAGAGGGAGAGCAGAGAGACAGGGAGGGAGGTAGGGAGGGAGCAGAGAGACAGTGAGGGAGGTAGGGAAGAGAGAGACAGAGGGAGGGAGGGAAGCAGAGAGAGAGGGAGGGAGGGAGGGAGAGAGAGACAGAGAGAGGGAGGGAGGGAGGGAAGCAGAGAGACAGGGAGGGAGGAGAGGGAAGCAGAGAGAGAGGGAGGGAGGGAGGGAAGCAGAGAGACAGGGAGGGAGGGAGGGAAGCAGAGAGACAGTGAGGGAGGGAGGGAAGCAGAGAGACAGTGAGGGAGGGAGAGAGGGGAGGGAGCAGAGAGACAGAGGGAGGGAGGGAGGGAGAGCAGAGAGACAGTGAGGGAGGGAGGGAGGAAGCAGAGAGACAGGGAGGGAGGGAGGGAAGCAGAGAGACAGTGAGGGAGGGAGGGAGAGAGAGACAGGGAGGGAGGTAGGGAAGCAGAGAGACAGTGAGGGAGGGAGGGAAGCAGAGAGACAGGGAGGGAGGGAGGGAAGCAGAGAGACAGGGAGGGAGGTAGGGAAGCAGAGAGACAGGGAGGGAGGGAGGGAAGCAGAGAGACAGGGAGGGAGGGAGGGAAGCAGAGAGACAGGGAGGGAGGGAGGGAAGCAGAGAGACAGGGAGGGAGGGAGGGAAGCAGAGAGACAGGGAGGGAGGGAGGGAGGCAGAGAGACAGGGAGGGAGGGAGGGAGGGAAGCAGAGAGACAGGGAGGGAGGTAGGGAGCAGAGAGACAGGGAGGGAGGGAGGGAAGCAGAGAGACAGAGAGGGAGGGAAGCAGAGAGACAGGAGAGAGGGAGGGAGGGAAGCAGAGAGACAGGGAGGGAGGGAGGGAAGCAGAGAGACAGTGAGGGAGGGAGGGAAGCAGAGAGCAGAGAGAGACAGAGAGAGAGAGAGGGAGGGAAGCAGAGAGACAGGGAGGGAGGGAGGGAAGCAGAGAGACAGAGAGAGAGAGACAGGGAGGGAGGGAGGGAAGCAGAGAGACAGGGAGGGAGGTAGGGAAGCAGAGAGACAGTGAGGGAGGGAGGGAGAGAGCAGAGAGACAGGGAGGGAGGGAGGGAAGCAGAGAGACAGTGAGGAGGGAGGGAAGCAGAGAGACAGAGAGACAGGAGAGGGGAGGGAGGGAGGGAGCAGAGAGAGACAGTGAGGGAGGGAGGGAAGCAGAGAGACAGGGAGGGAGGGAGGGAAGCAGAGAGACAGAGGGAGGGAGGGAGGGAGGGGAGGGAGCAGAGAGACAGTGAGGGAGGGAGGGAGGGAAGCAGAGAGACAGGGAGGGAGGGAGGGAGAGCAGAGAGACAGGGAGGGAGGGAGGGAAGCAGAGAGACAGGGAGGGAGGGAGGGAGAGAGGGAGCAGAGAGACAGGGAGGGAGGTAGGAGAAGCAGAGAGACAGAGAGGGAGGGAGGGAGGGAAGCAGAGAGACAGGGAGGGAGGGAGGAAGGGAAGCAGAGAGACAGGGAGGGAGGGAGGGAAGCAGAGAGAGACAGGGAGGGAGGGAGGGAAGCAGAGAGACAGGAGAGGGAGGGAGGGAGACAGAGAGAAGGGAGGGGGGGAGGGAAGCAGAGACAGGGAGGGAGGGAAGCAGAGAGACAGGGAGGGAGGGAGGGAAGCAGAGAGACAGGGAGGGGAGGGAGGGAAGCAGAGAGACAGGGAGAGGGAGGAAGAAGACAGAGAGGGAGGGAGGGGGGGAAGCAGAGAGACAGACAGAGAGACAGAGGGAGGGAGGGAAGCAGAGAGACAGGGAGGGAGGGAGCAGAGAGACAGGGAGGGGGAGGGAGCAGAGAGACAGGGAGGGAGGGAGGGAAGCAGAGAGACAGTGAGGGAGGGAGGGAAGCAGAGAGACAGGGAGGGAGGGAGGGAGAGCAGAGAGACAGGGAGGGAGGGAGGGAAGCAGAGAGACAGTGAGGGAGGTAGGGAAGCAGAGGGAGGGAGGGAAGCAGAGAGAGGGACAGGGAGAAGGGAGGGAGGGAGGGAAGCAGAGAGACAGAGAGACAGGGAGGGAGGGAGGGAAGCAGAGAGAGAGGGAGGGACAGGGAAGCAGAGAGGTGAGGGAGGGAGGGAAGAGAGAGACAGGGAGGGAGGGAGGGAAGCAGAGAGACAGGGAGGGAGGGAGGGAGGGAAGCAGAGAGACAGGGAGGGAGGGAGGGAAGAGAGAGACAGGGAGGGAGGGAGGGAAGCAGAGAGACAGAGACAGAGGGAGGGAAGGAGAGAGACAGAGAGAGGGAGGGAGGGAGGGAAGCAGAGAGACAGGGAGAGGGAGGGAGGGAGACAGGGAGGGAGGGAGAGAGACAGGGAGAGGGAGGGAGGGAGGGAAGCAGAGAGACAGGGAGGGAGGGAGGGAGAGCAGAGAGACAGAGAGGGAGGGAGGGAGGGAGGGAATCAGAGAGAGACAGAGGAGGGAGGGACAGAGGGAGGGAGAGAGAGAGACAGGGAGGGAGGGAGGGAGGGAAGCAGAGAGACAGGGAGGGAGGGAGGGAGGGAAGAGAGAGACAGGGAGGGAGGGAGGGAAGAGAGAGACAGGGAGGGAGGGAGAGAGAAGACAGAGAGACAGGAGACAGAGGGAGGGAGGGAAGCAGAGAGAGACAGTGAGGGAGGGAGGTAGGGAGCAGAGAGACAGGGAGGGAGGGAGGGAGGGAAGCAGAGAGACAGGGAGGGAGGGAGGGAGAGAGAGAGACAGAGAGGGAGGGAGGGAGCAGAGAGACAGGGAGGGAGGGAGAAGAGAGAGACAGGGAGGGAGGGAGGGAAGCAGAGACAGGGAGGGAGGAGGGAGGGAAGCAGAGAGAGGGAGGGAGGGAGGGAGGGAGAGAGAGACAGGGAGGGAGGGAGGGAGAGAGAGAGACAGGGAGGGAGGGAGGAGACAGAGAGACAGGGAGGGAGGGAGGGAGAGAGAGAGACAGGGAGGGAGGGAAGGAGGGAGGCAGAGAGAGAGACAGGAGAGGGAGGGAGGGAAGCAGAGAGACAGGGAGGGAGGGAGGGAAGCAGAGAGACAGGGAGGGAGGGAGGGAAGACAGAGAGACAGGGAGGGAGGGAGGGAGGGAAGCAGAGAGACAGACAGGGAGGGAGGAGATGCAGAGAGACAGGGAGGGAGGGAGGGAAGCAGAGAGACAGTGAGGGAGGGAGGGAGGGAGGGAGCAGAGAGAGAGACAGGGAGGGAGGGAAGCAGAGAGACAGGGAGGGAGGGAGGGAGGGAAGCAGAGAGACAGTGAGGGAGGGAGGGAGAGCAGAGAGACAGGGAGGGAGGGAGGGAAGCAGAGAGACAGTGAGGGAGGGAGGGAGGGAAGCAGAGAGACAGGGAGGTAGAGAGAGACAGGGAGGGAGGGGGGAGGGAGACAGAGAGACAGGGAGGGAGGGAGGGAAGCAGAGAGACAGGGAGGGAGGGAGGGAGGGAAGCAGAGAGACAGGGAGGGAGGGAGGGAAGCAGAGAGACAGGGAGGGAGGGAGGGAAGCAGAGAGACAGGGAGGGAGGGAGGGAAGCAGAGAGACAGTGAGGGAGTGAGGGAGGGAAGCAGAGAGACAGGGAGGGAGGGAGGGAGGGAAGCAGAGAGACAGTGAGGGAGGGAGGGAAGCAGAGAGACAGGGAGGGAGGGAGGGAGGGAAGCAGAGAGACAGTGAGGGAGGGAGGGAAGCAGAGAGACAGGGAGGGAGGGAGGGAAGCAGAGAGACAGTGAGGGAGGGAGGGAGGGAGGCAGAGAGACAGGGAGGTAGAGAGACAGGGAGGGAGGGAGGGAGGGAAGCAGAGAGACAGGGAGGGAGGGAGGGAAGTAGAGAGACAGTGGAGGTAGGGCGGGGGGGGGGGGGGGTCTTGGGGTAGGGAGGCAGTAAGGCAGGTTATTGGGGCACGTGAGAAACGGGGCACTAATCTGACCTGTTACCTCACTCTTTTTGTCTCCATGCCTCCCTCTCTCTCCCCCCCCCCTCCCCCCTCCTCACCCACCCCCCTTCCCTCCCCCCATCCCTCCCTCACTCCCACCCACCTCACCCTCCACCCCTCCCACCCCCTCCCACCCACCCCACCCACCACCCTCTCCCTCGTACTCTCCCTCCCACCCCCACCATACCCGCTGTGGCAACACGCACTCACTGCCTGAGTGAATGCCGCCGCCGCCCGCCCAGTCGCTCACCAGCAGGGGCGCTACCCAGTCCGTCAGGCACAGTGACGCAGTGACGCAGGCACAGTGACGCAAAGTGAGGGAGTAACAGTGACGCAAAGTGAGGGAGACACAGTGAGGGAGACACAGTGAGGGAGATAGTAAAGTGCTGACCGGGACTCAGAGAGTACAGGAGGAGGCAGATACAAGGGAAGAGGAAGACTGATAAACACGAGAGGAGAAAACCCGGCATAAGAGAGACGCCTTACACCATCAACAATGGGGTAGGTTTACCACTGATGTCTCGTGCTGGTGACATCACTCAGGTCTGGTGCTGGTGACATCACTCAGGTCTGGTGTGGTGACATCACTCAGGTCTGGTGCTGGTGACATCACTCGTGTCTGGTGCTGGTGACATCACTCAGGTCTGGTGCTGGTGACATCACTCGTGTCTGGTGTTGGTGACATCACTCAGGTCTGGTGATGGTGACATCACACAGGTCTGGTGCTGGTGACATCACTCGTGTCTGGTGCTGGTGACATCACTCAGGTCTGGTGCTGGTGACATCACTCGTGTCTGGTGCTGGTGACATCACTCAGGTCTGGTGCTGGTGACATCACTCAGGTCTGGTGCTGGTGACATCACTCAGGTCTGGTGCTGGTGACATCACTCAGGTCTGGTGATGGTGACATCACTCAGGTCTGGTGCTGGTGACATCACTCAGGTCTGGTGATGGTGACATCACTCAGGTCTGGTGCTGGTGACATCACTCAGGTCTGGTGATGGTGACATCACTCAGGTCTGGTGCTGGTGACATCACTCAGGTCTGGTGCTGGTGACATCAATCAGGTCTGGTGATGGTGACATCACTCAGGTCTGGTGCTGGTGACATCACTCAGGTCTGGTGCTGGTGACATCACTCAGGTCTGGTGATGGTGACATCACTCAGGTCTGGTGCTGGTGACATCACTCAGGTCTGGTGCTGGTGACATCACTCAGGTCTGGTGCTGGTGACATCACTCAGGTCTGGTGCTGGTGACATCACTCAGGTCTGGTGATGGTGACATCACTCAGGTCTGGTGCTGGTGACATCACTCAGGTCTGGTGCTGGTGACACAATAGGAATAATGGGTGAAGTGGGACGTTGGATTTTCAACTTTCTGTCAAACAGAATGTAGAGAGTGACGGTCAATCAGGTAGGATCAGGCCCAAGTGCATTGAAAAGCTCTGTACCCCAGGGCACAGTCCTTGCACCGCTGCTCTGTACCCCAGGGCACAGTCCTTGCACCGCTGCTCTGTACCCCAGGGCACAGTCCTTGCACCGCTGCTCTGTACCCCAGGGCACAGTCCTTGTACCGCTGCTCTGTACCCCAGGGCACAGTCCTTGCACCGCTGCTCTGTACCCCAGGGCACAGTCCTTGTACCGCTGCTCTGTACCCCAGGGCACAGTCCTTGTACTGCTGCTCTGTACCCCAGCACCCTTGCACGCTCTGTACCCCAGCTGCTCTGTACCCCAGGGCACAGTCCTTGTACCGCTGCTCTGTACCCCAGGGCACAGTCCTTGCACCGCTGCTCTGTATCCCAGGGCACAGTCCTTGTACCGCTGCTCTGTACCCCAGGGCACATTCCTTGCACCGCTGCTCTGTACCCCAGGGCACAGTCCTTGCACCGCTGCTCTGTACCACAGGGCACAGTCCTTGCACCGCTGCTCTGTATCCCAGGGCACAGTCCTTGTACCGCTGCTCTGTACCCCAGGGCACAGTCCCTGCACCGCTGCTCTGTACCCCAGGGCACAGTCCTTGTACCGCTGCTCTGTACCCCAGGGCACAGTCCCTGCACCGCTGCTCTGTACCCCAGGGCACAGTCCTTGTACCGCTGCTCTGTACCCCAGGGCACAGTCCTTGCACCGCTGCTCTGTACCCCAGGGCACAGTCCTTGCACCACTGCTCTGTACCCCAGGGCACAGTCCTTGTACCACACCTCAGTCCTTGTACCACTGCTCTGTACCTCAGGGCACAGTCCTTGTACCGCTGCTCTGTACCTCAGGGCACAGTCATTGTACCGCTGCTCTGTACCCCAGGGCACAGTCCTTGTACCGCTGCTCTGTACCCCAGGGCACAGTCCTTGTACCACTGCTCTGTACCCCAGGGCACAGTCCTTGTACCGCTGCTCTGTACCTCAGGGCACAGTCATTGCACCGCTGCTCTGTACCCCAGGGCACAGTCCTTGCACCGCTGCTCTGTACCCCAGGGCACAGTCCTTGCACCGCTGCTCTGTACCCCAGGGTACAGTCCTTGCGCCACTGCTCTGTACTCCAGGGTACAGTCCTTGTACCACTGCTCTGTACCCCAGGGCACAGTCCTTGTACCACTGCTCTGTACCCCAGGGCACAGTCCTTGCACCGCTGCTCTGTACCCCAGGGCACAGTCCTTGCACCGCTGCTCTGTACCCCAGGGCACAGTCCTTGTACCGCTGCTCTGTACCCCAGGGCACAGTCCTTGCACCGCTGCTCTGTACCCCAGGGCACAGTCCTTGTACCACTGCTCTGTACCCCAGGGCACAGTCATTGTACCACTGCTCTGTACCCCAGGGCACAGTCCTTGCACCGCTGCTCTGTACCCCAGGGCACAGTCCTTGCACCGCTGCTCTGTACCCCAGGGCACAGTCCTTGCACCACTGCTCTGTACCCCAGGGCACAGTCCTTGTACCACTGCTCTGTACCTCAGGGCACAGTCATTGTACCGCTGCTCTGTATCCCAGGGCACAGTCATTGTACCGCTGCTATTTCTCATTCTTATCTCTGATATAGACAAAAATACTTGTCACAGCTTCGTGTCATTCTCTGCAGATGATACAAAAATCAGTATGAAAATGGCCACTGTAGAAGACACTGAAAACCACAGGCAGATATTAATAAAGTCTTCGATTAGGCAACTGAAAATAACATGATGTTTAACGGTGACAAATTCCAGTTACTGAGGTATGGTGGAAACGAGGAGGTTAAACAGGGTACAGGACACAGGGTGCAGGACACAGGGTACAGGACACAGGTCACAGGTCACAATCAGACCTACTCGTAGCAGGAAAGCAACAGGTACAAGATCTGGGCATTATAATGTCTGACGACCTGACATTTAGTGAACATAACCGAGCAAATATAGCGGCGGCGGCCAGGACAATGATGGGATGGATTATGAGAACGTTCACATCCAGAGACCCCACAGCAATGTTAGTACTATTTAAATCACTGGTGCTGTCCCGTCTTGAGTACTGCTCGGTACTCACTGCCCCTTTCAGAGCGGGAGAGATCTCTGAATTAGAGAGAATACAGAGAACATATACGGCACGCATGGAATCCGTTGTGTAGGGGTGGGGGTGGGGGGTGGGGTTGTACCACAGTGTAGGTGGGGTGTGTACCACAGTGTACGGGGGGTGTGTGTGTACTACAGTGCACGGGGGGTGTGTACCACAGTGTACGGGGGGTGTGTGTGTACCACAGTGTACGGGGTGTGTGTGTGTACCACAGTGTACGTGGGGTGTGTACCAGTGTACGGGGGGTGTGTACCACAGTGTACGGGGGGTGTGTGTGTACCACAGTGTACGGGGGGTGTGTGTGTACCACAGTGTACGTGGGGTGTGTACCACAGTGTACGGGGTGTGTGTGTGTACCACAGTGTACGGGGGGTGTGTGTGTGTACCACAGTGTACGGGGGGTGTGTGTGTACCACAGTGTACGTGGGGTGTGTACCACAGTGTACGGGGTGTGTGTGTGTACCACAGTGTACGGGGGGTGTGTGTGTACACACAGTGTACGGGGGGGTGTACCACAGTGTACGGGGGGGTGTGTGTGTACCACAGTGTACGGGGGGGGGGGTGTGTGTGTACCACAGTGTACGGGGGGTGTGTGTGTACCACAGTGTACGGGGGGTGTGTGTGTACCACAGTGTACGGGGGGGGTGTACCACAGTGTACGGGGGGGTGGTGTGTGTACCACAGTGTACGGGGGGGTGTGTGTGTACCACAGTGTACGGGGGGGGTGTGTGTGTACCACAGTGTACGGGGGGGTGTGTGTGTACCACAGTGTACGGGGGGTGTGTACCTCCACCACCACAGTGTACGGGGGGGTGTGTACCACAGTGTACGGGGGGTGTGTACCACAGTGTACGGGGGGTGTGTACCACAGTGTACGGGGGGTGTGTACCACAGTGTACGGGGGGTGTGTACCACAGTGTACGGGGGGTGTGTACCACAGTGTACGGGGGGTGTGTACCACAGTGTACGGGGGGTGTGTACCACAGTGTACGGGGGGTGTGTACCACAGTGTACGGGGGGGTGTGTGTGTACCACAGTGTACGGGGGGTGTGTACCACAGTGTACGGGGGGGTGTGTGTGTACCACAGTGTACGGGGGGTGTGTACCACAGTGTACGGGGGGTGTGTACCACAGTGTACGGGGGGTGTGTACCACAGTGTACGGGGGGTGTGTACCACAGTGTACGGGGGGTGTGTACCACAGTGTACGGGGGGTGTGTGTGTACCACAGTGTACGGGGGGGGTGTGTGTGTACCACAGTGTACGGGGGGAGTGTACCACAGTGTACAGGGGGTGTGTACCACAGTGTACGGGGGGTGTGTGTGTACCACAGTGTACGCGGCGGGGTGTGTGTGTGTACCACAGTGTACGGGGGGTGTGTGTGTACCACAGTGTACGGGGGGTGTGTACCACAGTGTACGGGGGGTGTGTACCACAGTGTACGGGGGGTGTGTGTGTACCACAGTGTACGGGGGGTGTGTGTGTACCACAGTGTACGGGGGGAGTGTACCACACTGTACGGGGGGTGTGTACCACAGTGTACGGGGGGTGTGTGTGTACCACACCCCATACCCATCCTGTGGGTGGTAGTGGACCCCATACCCATCCTGTGGGTGGTAGTGGACCCCATACCCATCCTGTGGGTGGTAGTGGACCCCATACCCATCCTGTGGTGGTAGTGGACCCCATACCCATCCTGTGGGTGGTAGTGGACCCCATACCCATCCTGTGGGTGGTAGTGGACCCCATACCCATCCTGTGGTGTGGTAGTGGACCCCATACCCATCCTGTGGGTGGTAGTGGACCCCATACCCATCCTGTGGGTGGTAGTGGACCCCATACCCATCCTGTGGTGGTAGTGGACCCCATACCCATCCTGTGGTGGTAGTGGACCCCATACCCATCCTGTGGGTGGTAGTGGACCCCATACCCATCCTGTGGGTGGTAGTGGACCCCATACCCATCCTGTGGG